CCCCGCCCCATCCCACTCATATCCATTCCATCCCATACCCCATCCTACACCCCGCCCCATCCCACTCATATCCATTCCATTCCATACCCCATCCTATCTATTCCATGCCTCACCTCCATAGGGCCTATCCAATACCCCAACCCATCCCATTCCATCTCCAAAACGGCCATCCGTTTCATCACCCATCCCATTACATCTCACATACTCCACACAATATGCAATGTAATTCCAATTCAATACAGCATCAGTTGGCTTTCTCTCTCTTCACAACTGTCAGTTTTACAAAATTTGTGGCCTGGATTGATACTTTGTCGAGCTAAATGCAGCTTATTCTGAACATCATTAGACATGAGGATAAAACACCGAACATTTCTCAAAGACGTAGGCGAGATCAGAGGCCCCCCTAAGGGCGGGGGTATGGCACGCCGGTTGTTAGATTTTCTGTTTCGTAGAGGGCGCTGTAGATGGAGCAGAAAGACAACTTGATTTCACTCACAATTCGGTAACACCTCGCCGTTAGGCAAGCTTTGACATCTGAAAAGATGTGGTTGGGTCGCGTCTTTGATTTCTGAAACGTTCGTTTGCATAGATAACAATGTTACCTATTTTTTTCGGTTACGTGTCGCATTATTTTATCCCAAACCACGGAACTCTTGAAGCGTCATCCGAATCGTTTCTTTGTAAGTATTGTTGCGCACACAAACCTCGATTGTGAAATTCTAGCACGCCCATGTTTTACTCGTTCTTGTTGCCTTGCACTCTCAGGGTCTCTTATAAACCTTTCACTAATAACGCCAAAAATATGCACGCATGCGCACAAGTAGTAGTAGTAAGTTTCCACACGCTTTGCATGTATTTCTTCTTTTGTGCAGGGGCGTTGATCGCCTGCGTAATGGACCATCTCATTTACTTACTTGGGCAAAATGTACATGTACGTTGAACCACTTTTTATAACTCATTGGTTGAACACAACAAATAGGACGGTTCAGCAGACTCTGCGCAAGCGCTCTGATTGGTTCAAAATCCGGATTGGATAAATATATCAGAGCAATCTTATACATAATTATTTAATTTCGAATCACTAATTTTCTGGCGAATTGCAATTGTACAAAAGTTGCTAAAATTTCTGGACGGATGAGAATACCTCCAAACGTGACAGATGTGGCACGGAAAAAAAGAAAAAAGACACTTTTGTCGCACTGCCTAACTACCCCCATGGACTAAAGTCTGACGGGCATTCATTGCGAACATGGAGAATCTCAGTTAATAATAATGTATCATTATTTGAATACGTGCTGCGCCATTGCGTCCCACAGCTGAATGCATTGCATATGCATTGCGCTGTTTGCATATGAAATGAGTGGCAGGTCCCATGTTGAAAGTCCTTAGACAGGTCAAAACTCAGGCTATTGACTATGATGCTTATCCTATCCTTGAGTCTTGTAAGGTGAGCCATTATTTGGCTTTAAGTTTAAGAACCGTGCACGATTATCTAACGACTTGTCATCAAGGTTACCATCCTACACTACGCCCTCCATTTATATATGTAATTTTTTTTTACTTTGCGGAATGATACTTGTTGAAGAAAAACAACGTTTTTGCTCCTGGAAGCCTATTCTTCACAGTGCACTTTACAGTGTATGTTTCACTGAGGCAGTGTTTGCGTGTCTGAAAAGGCAGTAATGTGCTTTACCATACCTCAATGATGGAACCCTAATTTGTTTGGGGCGTAAACAGAGGTCCCCGTCACTGGGAGCAAGGTCGCGTCCCTGCCACCCACAGTGCCTCAACATTGCACGTACCTGTGCACTGGGTTACACACCAACGCTGCTGTCGTCAGTTTGTTAGTTGAAGTCAACTTTTCTCAACCGATTAGGCCTACACCGCTCCTTCCGAGAAAGATTTCTCAGAAGTCGGAGACCTTTACTCTTCCGCTTGTGGTAAACTAGAAAGGAAAACCAAGCACCATGAAGGTTCTGCTGCTTTCGATGTTGACGCTCTCCTTCTGTGTGGGTATGTTGTCCTCATAATCTTCTCCAGCACTTCATTTTTTTCAAGTGTAGGCTAGGTCTATTTAAAATGAAGAGAGAAAACCCGGTATTCGGCACAGATATATATTGTGCGCGTATAAATACCTGGGCTAGTAATGACAGCCCTTCCTATTGCTCGGGAGCCCATCACGTGGCCCGTCTTAAACTGTCGATAAAGCACTGATTTATCTCAATGATGAATATTTTTGATGTCGTATAAAGTTAAAGTTCCTATGGAATTCCATTTGCCCTTAATGTTTTGACTGACTGTTTACAATATACGGTTCACAACAGTGCACTTCCAAGAGTTTACAACGTGTTGACCAATCACTTGGCGCAAAATCTATCGACCCCTTCCTAACGCGCATTGGGCCGACAGATCTCGCCCACTGTGATTCACAGTGATTGGTCAACGCGTTGCAAACTATTAGAGGCGCACTATTGTGAATTGCCCGTATTTTGTGATGTCCGTAGTTGGAGAGACCCAGGCCATGTCCGAATTAACGGGCTTCCAGAGCTACGGCTTGGTCTATTGTCTGCGCGTTTCCACGTATCTCCAATGGAGTGTAGGCCAAGGCCTCAGAGCTCTAGACAACGGATTCCAATGCAGCTCCATATTCACATTAGACTAGCTCAATGCACCACTTCATGTGGTTTGCGCCACGCGCGCGTCAATCTCCAAAAACAGAAATGAATACGAGCAGTACACCATAATATGGCTTGAAGGGCGTTTGAAAAAAAAGACGTAAACTTGTCCAACAAAATCATTCATAAAATCTCCAATAACTTGTTTGGACGTTCTGACTGTAAAGGGTATTATAGGCGCTTGACAGTACAGTGTCAGCTGGACCTGCCCAGAGGTATACACACCTCACCTTTCAAGTTGGCTGGGGCCATCTTAGTCAACGTTCATCTCCTGATCTGGACGCAATTTCACGGTGCTGCTTAGCACTCGATTTCACGCTTCAAAAGGCCGCGTGTGGAGACCATGAGCAGTGTAAGCAGAGCCCACAGCGTGCTAATCATGAAAGAAGGAAATGCTTAAAATTAATGACGTAACAAAATAATCCCCTTTGTGTTCAAGCATGCCAAGCACCGCCATGAAAAAGTGCTTAATGTCAGCAATTTCTTTGCTAAACTTAGCACGACCTTTCTGCTAACTGTTAAGCAGCTCCGTGAAATTGGGACTTGCTTATGGTCTTAAATGAACGTTGAAAACCGGCCATTACTTATTTATTCCCTAAATACTCGACACTGTGTACTGATTTCTTTGGTTTCCCTTGATGGGAAAGGTTTTAGCAATCATGCAAGAAAATGTGAACGTGAAACTTGGATAAAAGTGCTTGGAGCAATTTTCCTGTGTTGTGTGGGTTTCGAAATATGATGATGATGAAACATTTATTTCAATGGTGTCATTCTTTACAGAGTAACAAAACCTGTTACATTACTTAAGTACTGAACAAACCTGATCATTAAATTGAGTAACATTACATAAAATAGGATTATACATTTGATAAATTAGATGACAACATTTAGGTTTAAGGATAAGTAAGAACAGTTTTGCACCCCCAACCTACAGACAGACAAAAATAACCATACAATTTGACAAAAGATAAAGAGGCTCACTTGGAGAAATGCTTCTTCGGTACGTATGTTTATGAGACGCGCTAAATGTATTCCGCCACTGTCGCATAAAACACTTGGTCTTGTGTTTGGTGCTTCCAGTTAGCACACTACGGGTAAAGCTACTTTGCCTCGCAAACCCAGTACTTGCTTGGGCGGTATCAGCGTGGGCGGAAGTGCCCCTTTAAGATCGTCTTTGCAGATCTTAAATTTGGTGTCAGGTCGGTCGTTGGTTTGGTTTTATGCTCTGCGCCAATAAACGCTTACACCCACGAGTCCATATCCGTATTTTTAGCCTTATGGGGGACTTTGCGGATAATCGACCACAATTATTCACAACTTATGTTACTTGTAATATAGCCGCTGCGATGGAATTCGATTTACGGACATAACACAACTATTTACAATATTGATAAATCATGAAGCCTATGCTGGCCTGTGCTGTTGATGATTGGTTTTGAAACTATCAACCCCTGGGGGAAAAAAACGAACACGTTGTGCAAGATAATGTGTGGTACCAAGGTAAAAAAAAAACAAACCTTGACCGGTGACTCCGTGCTGGTTTGTGTAGGGAACGGCAGCGTGATAGCATAAACAGCTGGGAATAAAAAAACTTGATCTTGGTGAGAATGCGTTTCACCAGCCTTGTGCTACAGGGTCTCAGATGTTGCACCTTTTATTGGGTGGGGGGTAAAATAGCTCCTTGGTGTTTGAATGGAACCAAGTTTTGTTTGCTATGTTTAGAAAATATGTTGCAGTTTTGGGTGTTTATTCTGATACCAATTACCGTATTCCTGAGCAAGTAAAACCGCACGTAATTCCGATACCCCAAAGAGATGTAAAAAGTAAAAGACTGCGGAATCCTTTGGTTTGTATTAACGGGCATTATGGGAATCATGGCACACGCCATTAAACACGTTTGATTTGTTTACAAGTTTGCGCTTTTAATCATCAGCCAACCAGTGATAATTAATTTGGCTCTGGCTAAGACAGTGAAAAGTCACAAATAGGCCTCACTTTAGAGGATACATATATTTAGTAATGAACAAAAACTAGGAGTTCTATACAAAATGACTAAAATTATACAGTGGAAAAAAGAAGCCGATCAGTGCTCTGAAGTTGGGAATGACTTGACTTGGCTTGTCTTGACTTGGGAAGTAGCTGCAGAGTTTGCAGTAGAAGGACTTGCTGCAAAAGGGCTTGAATGGATGACGATGAAGATGTGCTGGGCGAAGTGCAGATGATGTTAGGATTTGAATGGACGGTCTCTCCTTCCCCTTGACAAAGTGAGGCGTCGGAAAAATAGGTCATGTGGCTCTGGTCCGAGCCACTCACTGCACAGCAACATATGAATGCGCGGCTCAATACTCTCTCTTGCTTTGTCGTTGCCTAGGGCAGGGCAGAGACGTATGGCAGGTTCGAGTGAAGGAAAAAAATCACAAAGAGACCCTTGAACAGAATTTCTGTTCAGTCCGGCGTCCAAATGAAGTGGAAGGTCACTAGCCACTGAATTTATCCGCTCCTCCTCAAGGACTCTTTTGGTTGGTTGCTAATTCTGCTATTAACCTGCCCACACGCCTTGCCAAGCATCCCAAACATTTCTTAGAAATGTATGACCAAATTCGAAGGGGGTTATGATTTTAAAAAATGGGGGGGCGGGGTTGCACAAAACTCATCCTATTATATATATTTTCAAAAAGTGAAGTGTATCTTTTTTGAAGTCCGCTTTTGAGAGATATATTTTTTGCCTCCATTTAACGAGATGTATTTTTCCAAAGTTTGTTTGCTTGCGACATAAGTTCTCCAGTTCCTTCAAATGAGATCTATAGTCACAAACCTTGTTTCCTTTTTTTACAAGATGTTTATTCTTTGAAAACATTTGTTTTGCAAAAGATATATTTGCCAAGTTAACTTTCAGGGCCTATACCTTGTCAAGTTTTTTTATACTTCTGACAAACACCAACTTCAACAGAATATAACTCAGAAAAACGAACTTTACAAATCTCCTTAAAACGGACTTAAATACATATTCATCGCAAAAACCATTTTCTTCCCTTAAAATAGAAACAATATTTCTATTTATAAATCTTACAGGAACGAACTGGAGAATATTTATCTGGAACAAACGAACTTGGTAAAAACAAATCTCGCAAAACGAACTTCAATTGGAACATTATACTATACACAAAACGAATATACACTGAGAATCTAATTCTTGAAGGCACTCCAGAGCCTTCGTACTCAATGAAAGACTGTTGAGTACCTTTTCCTCCGATGCTCCGAAGGCGATGTTGTGATTTATGACCGTTGCCCGCGTCAGATTTACTGATGTGGGCCATGGATTTTGACATTGGCGCTTGACGCACTTCGTAGGGTTCGTGACCTTTGACTCTTAGGTATTGCAAGACTTGCCCTAGTCGACACTCACCATTTCAAAATCGCGGTACCCCGTAAAGAAACACAGAAGACGTTTCTCTCCACATGCAAACATTCTTTTCATTTGTCACGTCTGTAATCGACATGAGAACATTTCACTTTTGAAAAGTCATCGAGCACACATTTTGATACTGTCTGAATTGTTAAAGTTGATAACTATGCAGGTTTTACGGCGAAAATCCTTTCCATGCAGTGAAAACGTAGTGAACTTTCTGTCGGTTCCATTGATGAAATTTTACTCGAATTTGTCTTGTCCCTAGGTCGATCCACTTAAAGAAGGTGGATTTTCACTTTAATTAACGGAGTGAATTTCTTCTCTTTCCGATATATACAAAGTATTTTATGTATAACATTATTACCTCTGAAAGCCTTGCCTCTGCACTTGAAGAAGCTGGAATAAAAGGAGCGTTCATCAGTATAAGTCGATGGGACGTACCGCTGCTTTTTAGCACTTGACATGAATAGGAGCAAGTGGCTAAAATAAAATATATCATATATCTCTGAAACGCACTTAAAAACAGTAAATACATAAATTAACAAACAAACAAAACCCAAAAACAAAAACAAACAAACAAACAAACAAACAAACAAACAAACAACCCCAACACCCCAACAAACAAACAACAACAACAACAACAACAACAAAACACACACACAACACAGCCGATGGACATATTTCTTGGCTATAATTTGAGGCTGTCGATCGCAACATATAACATGAGAATAGATGGACTCACACTCTAAAATCAGCTGAGTCAGACTGACCCGGAATCTGGGTTCCGTGGGACCTGACCCCTTTCTGGGTCAAATTATGGCCCTTTTTTAAAGACCTGCCGCCGCGAGATGGCGTTATCGTGCTCAACTCCTGTCAGCCCCGGACAGTCAGTGCAAGTGCTTCAGCGATTTGTGGAACCACCACAGGATGGTAAAAGCGAGTAACAAAACACCCTTACAGTCGTCTGTTATGAGACTCCACTACAGACAAGGAACAAAATTTTATCCTGGGAATATGAATGTGGTGCAAGTACCCCCCCAAAAATGGCTAAAAATGTTTCTGAATCATTCGTCCGTGATCTGTCATCAGGCTCCGTTGTTTCAAGATGAGTACATCAACATAATTATATTTTGATCATTTTTAAAAATGTCGGGTTGGTAAGGTAATTCTTTCTTTTACCTTTGTGGTCCTGGGTTTGATTCCCGCCTGATTCCGTGGGTCTTACCCAGAATATTCCTTGGGGTTTTCCTCCCAACTCTAAAACTGTAACTGCTTCTTACTGTCTCCTCTTTACTGATGTTGGTGAATGTGGGTCATTTGGCGGCTACCCGAGGGGCCCTTGTATGCCATTGGCTCCACCAGTTTTAAATGTATTCATTTTTCCACGCTTAATGTCTTTCATTGTACAGTGCATTTGAACATATCTATATGAAATTTGCACTTTTATAAAGGAATACATTATTATTATTAAACGGAAAGGAAAATCAGGAAGAAGTGGTATGAGGGTACACGACGAGTGCAGCCATCTACAGGAGGGCATTATCTCAAGGATAATTTCAAGCAGAGAATGTCCCTTTCCATTTATAAGCTTCAAATTCCCTGTCTGGCTATTTAATTTGATGCTGTATTTCCTCCTAAGCCGCGGCTAGGTCTAATGTCAGCGTTTCTCCGCATATTGACAATGGAAAGAAGACCTAGACCTAGCTTATCTAGCCACTGGCTTGGGACGCAGCCGTGGTTGTGCCAAAAGCAAGGTCATTTGAGAATAATCGAGCGTGTGAGTCTGCGCATGTGGCCGCGCTGATAGGGCAGACCTTGCGCGTGAGTATTGCTGACCTCAAAAATAGCTCTTACACCTCCATTCAAGAACATCCACAATTTTGAGTGTTGATTTTTCCTCAGCTGGAGCATGCGCACTTCGCTGCTACGAGTGTATTGGCTCTGTTTCAACCTCCATCAACGACTGGTGTAATGACCCGTTTGACTCGACCGACCCTGCTGCACAAGCATCCATTCAAACCTGCAGTGGAGAATGCGTGGTAAGTAAACTGTCGGTCGTCATTGACAGTAATTACATGTAACAAACGAGAGAAACACGAATTAGCAAAGGGTTCTTTTTCCGACACCCAACGAACAGTACTGTTCTGCGCCACCTTGCACGTTTTGAGCAAAGGCTAAAAAAGCGAGAAATATTTTGAAATGAAAACTAAACACAACCAAGCGATCCAAGTCATGAAATCGTTGATTCAGGTCGCTTTTAGTGCTCTGTAAAAACACTTTACAATCGGGATTTTTCTTGTGCGCACGAGATTTCCGTATCTAAGTCGGTCTCTTTTCGTGCTTTTCATACCAGAAATGATTTAACGGAATTTGCTGAAGAAATAAAAGGAACAAAGACAAAAAAAACAACAACAAAAACCCAAAAAACAAATAAACAAACAAAAATAAAAAAACAACGAAATCGGTCGAATTCGTGCATCTATATGTCTTCAATGGCCCGCTTACACTTTTTGCCAACAAGGCCATTTGTGCGCATGCTTGCATCATTATCTATTAGTGAAAAGGTTTATTTTTAGCAGAAAGGATTTGAATGCGAAAGTAACAAACAAAGTCTGTCTGAGACGAATAGGGGCAGTTCACAATAGTGCGCCTCGTGCAACATGTTGGCCAACTCCCGAAATCTGTCGACGCTTTCCAGACTTGCATTGCTTGGCAGATTTCACGCACTGTGGTTTTTCAACGCTGTGCAAACTCTTGGAGGCGTGCTATTTTGAAACGCTTGTATACATCGTTTGCAGCCTAACTTAAAGTTCTCATACACAGCTAAAAATTTGCCACGCTGCAGAGTCTAAAGCTCTAACTGTGAAAACCAAGAGTGACAGAAAACGCTTTTTATCCTGATATCAACAAAGCTGGTTCTATAAAGAGAAGTGACAGCTTCAGACTTTGAACCAAAATGCCTGATCGTTATAATACGCAGTTTAACATCATGCGTACAGCCATTATGTGGCTAATTGTTCATGCGCAGTGACGCATAATCCACCATTTTGGTTCCAATAATTGAGACACTCTCGTAGCAATTCTTTCTGATAAACAGCTCTGGATATCAGACATTGCATTTGTGTTTTCTACTTTTTTTGCAACTCTCGTCTTCAGGTGTTTTACTCTAAGATCGGTGATCTCGAAGGCTTTGTTCGGGAGTGTTCCAACGTTACCGTACCCGACTGCCTGAACGCTTGCCACTCTGCCCTGGGAATCACATCTTGCCAGTACTGCTGCTCTGAAGACCTCTGCAACAGCACCTCCATAATAATGTTTGACCTGCTGGCTGCCATCGCCAAAGCGCTGTCTGCCTGGTACCGAAGTGTATAAGGGCAAACAACAAATTTCGTTGCGGGCGGGCGAGGACCTATCGAGAATTAGGTGCCTTGGGAGTGGTGGTACCGGCTGAAGGTCTTTGTCCAGTATGCCTGAGGGCGCTGTTTATGATGTACACATTGCGTGTTTGCTCGTGTTCGCGTTACATGCTGCACATAGCATAAATGAATTTCACTTACAACGTGTAGCCATTTAGCCTGTTGGATGTATGACTGTTTCATCTCTCTCTTTGGGTGATACATTTATGAGTGAAAAATGGCATTTTTAAACATTAAGCGTTTCCAAGCTTACCTCAAATATAAGAGTGCTGGTGTTGATGTGCTTTTTTTCGTGGAGACACTTTTTAGTTAGCTTTGTTATGAATACATCATTCCCATTCTAGATAGTCACAAGGAAACAACGCTGATTATCTTCTTTTATTGCTGTTTCTTTCCTTGGTGCATTTTTCCTTTTTTCTTCCTTTTTCAGACTTTTCTCTATAGGGTTTGTACAGACATCGCAGACATTTAGGCTGCGTCCGCATCTGTTGTCTAGGGCTAGGTTTAGGTCTTCACTCCCTTGAAAGTACGTGGAGACGCACAGACAATAGACCTAGCCGTAGCTCTGGAAGCCCGTTTCGGACACGGCCCTAGACAATCATGTTAGGATGGTCCTTAAAGACATTTGTCATGATGACGTCTTCACGTGATTTATTTTTGAATTCGAATATTTCGTATTTGGCCATAGGGTTTGTACACATTTTTCTGCAACACCCTATATTATCCAGCTTAATGAGTGAGTGGTCCTCAACTTCGACCAAGAATTACTACCAGAACGAAGTAGAAATCGGACTAAATTGGCCCTTTTGTTCGATTAGAAATATACCCTAGAGTCAAAATATCAAATAATATTTCGTAAGAAAATTTCAGTTTAAGCGCAAATCACGTGACACGAACTTAAACAAGCCGTTTTTCTGCACACGTGTTTTTATCACATTGGTTTTGTACTTGTTTTCAAGCCACAGTTTTGGTACCTTCGCGATAGTTTAATCGTTATCGAATTGATGGCCAACAAAGATCCTGATACAACATTTAATGTAAATCGATGACATCATGATGACGTCATTATCAGATTTATTATTGATTTTTCAATATTGATTTCAGCCCATTGACTTTGTACACGGTTTCAAGTTACAATCCTGGTTACTTGGTGATCAGTGAATGGAAACACCACAATGGCTAGTTTTGTCGCTCACTGTGTTGTGTTATACCATAGAGCTACAAACCCAGCTCTACGGTTATACGTATCCATCCATACTAGCATGCAGAGACAAGTGCCTTTGGCGGAGGTCGAATATTTTATTTCTTTAGAAATCTGCGAGTATATCCTGGCTCATTATTCTGTCATTGGGGGTTTTTCTTTATCCTATGCATGATAATGCTACATTGGCTGTGTGCGCAAAGCGAAAGTATTGGAAACAGGAAAATAAGTACGCAGTGCTAGGGTCTCCAGAAACGCCCACATGGCAAATTTTGTAGCTCGATGTGTCCTGCACACACACAATCGACCTTAAACAGAAGGACCAAAATCGCAGATCCAAACAGGATATTTTCTCTACAATCCAGGCGCTTCCTTTAAGGCCTGTGTCACCTAAAGTACACGTCCCCGTGGGTTGAAATTTTGCTGATTTTTAACTAAAAAGGATAGACGAAAATTGACCTCATTTATTGATGACGTCATCAATTGACGAGTCAAGTGACATTAAAAGTGCACTTCTCATAGCTCAATATCCTTTAGAATGCCTTTGAAATGATTTCTTTAAAACATTATCAGTAAACAGCTGTCATCACATTAAGGGCACATTTATTTAAAGTTTTATTTTAATACCTATTGCATTGTCTGGAATAAAACATTATAATTACTTATTTGTTTCTGACATTTTCCTAGTTTAATTTCTTGCAGTTCTTTTTTCAAAAACACCGAAACAGCCTGCAGTTGTCTTTATTAACAACCGTCAAGCCTCTCGTTATGTATTGAAGGTGCTGCGGTTTACAACAAGTAGGGAATCTCTAAACTTTAAAACAACATCTAGTACTCAAATTGCGGCAACATCGAGGATGATCTGTAAATAGCACCAAAGATTTTTGACAGGTAAATATGAATACTAGCATGAGCCTTACAAATCTATTTCAACAAGGGTGGCAAACACAACAGGGCAACCGGCTAAAGACAAATTCACAAGAACAGTATTAGACATTTCAGGGCACAGGGTCGTCAAAGCAACATCCACGTTGAAAGATCCATCCTTGAAACAACATTCACGAGTTAATTATAACCGAATGTACTTTGTTTCTTTTCCATTCTGTGTTTAATAAGTTCGACAGCTGAAATGAAACATCCCAAATGACTTCCAATGCCTTTGTTTTTCACTTCAAAACCTTGATAGGAATGCCTGTACATGCTTTTGGAAATAACCGTGGCGTCTTGGCTCCTACGGAGACCGCTACGTAACGTCTGCTGCAGTTTATTTTCTCCACGGGCAAGTTGCGGAGTATAGCCGGGACCCAGTTTAATAGATCTCGGTTGCAAGACAAACCTACAGGAAGTAGTCAGGAACCCTTCCGTTCGGGACCTTGGCAGTGTTTAAAACACTAGATTCACCTGTTCCGGGAGTGAGACCTGAAATGGCCATTTTGTTAACAATGAATTCTCCTTGAGCTCACATGAAACCTTTCGAAGTACGTGAGTCTAGGTGCCGTTATTATCGTCCGGCCCCTCCCCCACCGTGTTCAGACTTTTCGCACCTACCAATCAACCCCCATGGTAATACAAATTTTAGGATCCATGGAATAAATATTTCTTAGAATCACTTTTGTTTATTTCTGAACTCTTCTTCAGTGTATGAAGACTGTTTGACCTATTCTGCGAATTACATGAACTGAAAGTGCACTTTTTAAACATTCAAATTTGACCAAGCATTTCTGGACAAGTGAGGGCGTTTTTTCTTTGATGTAAATCCAGGAGGACATGGTTCAATATACATGTTTTCATGTTCCAATGGTGAACTCCACATGGGTTAAAACTGAAATGAAAGAGAACTAGGCAAGACCTGACACTTGCAAAGAGATTGTTGATGCACCTAAGACAAATTTAGCCTCTACTATTGGCCCAGAGCTCTCCACGTGACCCGTTTAGAGCCGCGGTGGACTCCTTCCTGGATATTTCTTTCAAATATCGTCGCAAGATATTTTGTACACGGGCTTTGCTCAAGGTCATTGGAACACCGCTTTTGCGAAACCAGACGCATTACTATGAACGGTGTTTCAGAGACAGGTTAGCCCCAGGCATGATTTCTCTTTGGTGTGCTCAAAACACGCTGGCAGGCACACCTGTGGCCTTCCACCTCAAATGACGGTGACAGCAAAATCGTTTGTGGGATGTCAGGAAAACATTCTATTTCAACTGAGTTGGTGGGAGGGGATCTGGTCGTGAGAGCCCCGACTCTTTTAGGTTGAAACGGTTGACAAAGTGTGACCAGTCGGCTGAATCTGAACACTTTCCAGAGCCACACGACATTTCGATGTCTTTAAAGTTTAGTTACTTTCCACTTCAGGTCAAAGGTTTATGTTTTGTTTACGTTCACCGTCAACGGCAGGTAGGTAACAAGACCTTATGATTTATGATATCTCTGTAACTCTGCTCTGAAGAAGCTTGAGAGCTATATTTGTCTCGGTAACGTGGCTACCAGAAAGGTTCGTACACCTTGGAGGTCGTCCTTTCTGACCTTAAACGTGGTGCTAAGTCGGCATTTGGTTTCGTGTTGGTCTTGGTTCGTAATACCGCTACCTTCCACGTAGTATACACGCAATTTTTTCACCCCTTGCGCGGGGATTTTGGTTAATTGCCTCGTTCCCGACTTGCCCATGATCATCCGCAAGAAAATGAAACTCGACCAGCGATGTTTGTTGTACCAGAGCTATGGCAGTGAAACTCGACTGATCGCAAGGATATAACAAGACTATACCCATATCACCTCGACAACGTTTGTCAAGTCCATGGTGGTTTGCGCTTTCAAACCATGTGCTCTGAGTTCATTGACCTCAAAAAAGCACTGTGGCTGACATAGCGTGGTGCAGGTGTCATGATATGAGTCCACGGTTCCTTGTTGGTTGTCCTGAGAAAAGACTCGTGGTAACATTAAAAGATCGCAATCTTGCAGGGGATTTGTTCTCTAAGCGCTGTCACAATGCATTTCTTTCACTACAAATTTTGAAACTGCTTCTTTGTTTTCCTTTAAATCTTAATAATATGCAAACGTTTGCTTCGCAATTTGTAATGCCCTTTTCATTTTATGTGAATGCCAATTTCTGCATTCGTGGGCAGCACTGGTGTCATTTCCGGTGCGTGAATAAACTCATAGATACAGGGATTATGAATGAAGTTGGTTCTGTAAAGATACCGAATACGTCCTTTCTAAACGCGCACTGGTTGGACAGATTTCGCGCAGTGTAGACATGCAATTGGAAAGTGCGTTGTAAACTCTTTGGAGGTGCACTATTGTGATACACCCATGTTGCCTGTGAAAACCAGATGTACTGAGGCAAATGGCCACATGCACCAATCCGATTTATTCTGCGTCAATCCTTGTCAGTAATAAACATGGAGGTGAGCGTTGCAGTGTTAAAGGTTCAAAAGGTTCTACCCTCAAAGATACCGGTTATTTGCGACCGACTTACAGTCTCGGAGGTAGCGGTGGAATTTCCCCTAGCTTACACCAGCAGCTGTGAATCTAGCCTTCGATGGCGGGGAGACAGCGAATGTGGCTTCGGGCTCATTCAGCTCGATGTTGGGGGGATAACAAAATCCCAACATCTTTGCTTTTAGTTTATTGTGTTGTTTTCCAAGCTGCAGACATGAATATTAATTATTTTTGTTATCTCTTTCCCAAGCTCCATCGTACGCTGTTCAGTGCTACGTATATTACGTCATGAAACCCGCTGTCACCGTGTAGTGTAATGACCCATTTGATTCATCTCTCTATGCACTGGATAGGCAGCTCAGCAGTAACTGCCAATATGTGAATTGAAGTGACCGCGCGGCCATCTTAGGATGTTCATTACAATGGCCTCCAACTTCAGTCCATTCACTAAAGTGCATTCATGCGCAGGGCTAAAGCCGATGACTTGGAAAATGCCATGGTATTGAATGCCTTGGTCAAAGATGGCCGCGCACTCGCTCCAATTTCCAGAGCAGAGCTGTCTATCCAGTGATTTGATTCCAAAGACCCAGTTGCGCAGGCATCCATTCAAAATATGCTTTGGAGAATGCGTAGTTAAAAAAACAAAATTCCCTTCGCCCGTTACTTTCCGAAAACAAGTTTTGTGGGGCACAGCCTTCATTTTGCCTCACATAACTTCTTCATTGTTTGGGGGAGAACCCAAGAATGGCAGAGTGCGCTTTAACCCGACGCCAGGCTTTGTATACATGTAGATGGATTCTCACTCCTGTGATACTCTTGTCCTCAGGTATTGTACTCTAAGATCGATGACATTTCAAGGCTATGCCTGCGAGTGGCTGTATCAAACTCCATGAACGACTGCTACACTTACATGGGGATCACCGATTGCCAGCGTTACTGCACTGGCGACCTCTGCAACAGCCTCCAGCTTCACCAAGAGAGGGCGCTATTTTCTCAGCAACGGCCCGTTCCTTTAGTCTGAACTGAACTTCGATAACTACATCTAAATCCACGGTCGCATCGCTACAAACTGAACACTACCGAACAACACAGCTCTTTTCCACCGATGAGGGGAGTGCTTCTGCTTAAAGATGATTAAAGTCATGCATAAGAATGATAAGAGGGAGGAGCCAAACGCCTTATGGACAGAAAAGAGTTATGATGGTTTAGGGCGTTCCTCTTTGTTGGCTTGTGATGTGACTTCAACATTTGCGTTTCATAGTCAATTGTGAACCCGCTATGTGCAGTCATCAACGGAGCAGGCCTCTTTTACTGGGAAAATTGCGCCCTCTCTCGGACCTATTCGGTAAACAGCTCCACGTTTATGCCATTGCATTCTTAGCTGACTGACCGTACAGCTGAGGCACTTAAAGACAAATATTAATTATTTTTATTTGCCTTCAAGAGAAGAAGTTTGGGTGAGAGTCTATATACTTTTTCGAACCACTGTGTGCGTCGGTTGACAATGTACTCATAACACAATGCACAATATATCACAGATCGGATACTATACCACCAATACGTCCTCGACAGGTGGAATTAGCTGAAAAGGCGCCCTAGTATTGGCCTTATTGACAGACTGTAAGCTTACAGTCTGTCATAAAAAGTAAACTATCAGTTCATTAACCTATGTAAACAGTACCCATTTTCTGCATAATAACATACATCCTGACCTTTTTCCTTTGAGTTGAAACTGACAGTGGCTTCTTTGAAATATATATATATATTTTTAAAGTTTTGTACACACGTTGTGAGTACATTCGACATTCTGTTCGATTGTTATGAAAATTTTAAGATTTAAAAAGTTATTTGAGTAATTGAGCATTAACTGTTGTCTGATGAGGTCACTGTTCTGAGTCTTGATTTCATGCAGTGAAATTAATTTCCAACATTTTGTTTTATTTATTCAGTTAAATCAAATGCTGGTTCTTCCATACCTAGACAACAGAAGCGAATGTGTCTTTTACATTGGAAAAAAAAAACACCGATTTTTGACAAGACTTTACTGGTTAGGTGTTCAGGTCAAAAGATATTTAGACCCGCATTTAATTGACGTGCTGATCACATATGAATCCTGTTGCAATGTTGGGAAATCTCGAATGTTCTGTCGAAAACTTTTGGAATATGTTATTAGGCCTAATTCATTCATTAATTGCTTCGTAAAGTGCAGTGTTAATGGCCACTTTATTGTACAAGGGAAACCATTCATGATGCCTATAAATGTTTGGTACCATCAGGCAGTAAAAACAGATCATTTCGTTGTCTTTCAAAACATCAAGGATTACACTCATCCGAAATTGATGACAGAGTTGGTGATAAAAAAAGGTAATTGTTGTCAAGATTCCCAGGGGTTATCGGGAATTAGAAAATGGGTCATCTACCCCTTGACCTATCAAAAACTTAGCCAGTTGTTTTGATTAAAATGACATTTCTACAGTGACTCGGATAGGTGAATACCTGGATTGTAAATAGTGACGTACGACTCACTCCTCTGAAATGAAAAAGAAAAGCGTTGTATTTCCTCATCAGTGTAATAGGTTGCATCAGTTGAACCCCGAGCTGGAGCAAGAGAGGGTGCTGATTTTCTTGCAATGGGAACTCCTTTGGTCGGAACTGCTCTTCGCTGTTTCACAAACGACGATGAAATTCACACTTTACAGTCGCGTTGATACCAACGAAATGATCGTCCCGTCCAGCATGGCTCTTTATGACTGATGAGGGGGTGATTCTGCTCAGGGCGGATATATCTAATTGTGTTTCAGACCACTACAATTACAAATTTGCACTTTTCTAGAATGCTAACCGCTCGCTGCTTCTAAATATAGACGGTCATCTGTCATCGCCAAATTATTTTTTTTCACTATTGGCGATATAGTTGTCTTAGCATTCTGGTTCCTGGATTGAATGGTTCCAAATTGTTTAGAGAATCATTATGTCCGGTAGCCGAAACAAAGCGAATGGAACTCTTCCGATATAAGCAATGGGACGGAAATGTTCGAGGCTTCTCCATGAATATTCGGACACTGCCGTCAATCTGCGCATGTAAAATAGTTCTGTTTACAGGTTTAATCAAGTAAATTATGGTTTAAAAATATCCCATTTTCCATGTATATTTGGGGTTTTTTGGGGGGGGTGGGGCACAGCGGTTTCCATTTCTGTTTAACGTTGCTCGTGCAGACTTCTCGAAAGATTATAGGACATGCGCGCACCGGGTCTAAAAATAGAAGAGGATCGGAAGCCATCAGGCCTACGTCATACTTTGTTTATGCTGGTGAGGTCAACTTTCCCTGTCTCCAGGGGGGCCACTCTATTGTCATGACACTTTTTTGGCCTTGCCAGTGTTCCGTACAGTGACAACGCGCTAGTGTTTACTTGTGCCGAATTTCACACCTGCATCCCTAACAGCCATCTGCATCGATGTCATGGCGCCTGTCAACGTTACAAGTCAAACACAAATGTGAAGACAAACGCTGTCTCATAAAAAAATACCACACAGGTAGTCATAGGCACGTTTAAGCGTATGCAACTGGCCAAGGACTGCACATTTTTATACTGTTTCCAGCTCTAAAATCAAATGTGTGCAAGGTTTGGAGATTCACTCGTCTCCAGTTTGCCTGTAAGAGCAACGACATTCGCTAATTCATTTAATTGGGAAACCTTCCCCCAAAGGTTACTTTATTTTCAAACTCGTTTCGAAAATAATGAAAAGATTGTTTGAAATTCAAATCAACGACAGCAGGAATGGATTTATGCTTTCTTGGAACTTGGTATTCTCTTCTTTTTGAACGATCCCCCTTTACGATTCTGACTATGATGTAGAACTTTCCAAACTATTGGATTATCATGGTAACACTTAAGTAGGTAACTTTGAGGGCGCACTGCTTGACACTCGGGAACGAAGTTGCTTTGAAATCCTTTTGTGCAGGAAGGGGATCACAGCTACAGATGGGTTAAGTGCAACATCAAATTTAACCCGCACGTATCTTTCATGACCCTTGTTGTCGTCTGTAGGAACTCTATCGTGTGGAAACTGAAAGAAGAAACTGGGTCATCCATCCTGACACGATCTGCACTAGTCCTGGTATACCTCTTGCAATGACGTTAGCACATCTCTTTTGATTCGCTGTTGACGATGAGTTTTCATTGTTGACGTTTTTACCGTTATTCAACGACCTTGGCCAACGAAATCAGCACTTATAGTGCAAATGCACTGATGCATGCTCGCACTTAAACCGGAGAAAAGAGACATCTATTGACGACGACGGCATCAATATTTGTCAGCCAGCACGTTCAGGTTAAACAGTTCTCTGTCAACTTTTGTGGCAGCGAAAACAGCTCCGATTTTCGTATCATACAGTGGCTGGTTGTAACTTTTGGAACATGAAAGTCCATATACTGTCCCTGTTGCTCTTGGGCTCCCTTGCTGGTAAGATTCGTAACTAATTCGAGAAGATAAATCCGCTAGTTTGAGTTGGTGGTGGGTCGAATGTCAGCGGCAACCACCGTGAAGTTGAGCTCAACGGACAAACGTTTCCGCAGACCCTGCTTTGGTTGTTGCACAACCAACGTGTACATAATAATTATCCCCTCGAGGAATCTGTGGCCCTGTTTGTCTCAAACGGATACGGATCTTGATCAGTGATCCCAAAGCTGGTTCGCTCTATCCATTCAGCAAGCTCTAAAGGGAGTGAGCAAACGCCGGATCACTGGCCGCGATGGTGATCCGTTCGAAACAACTAGTCCGTTCAAATTGTTGACGCGTAGCGATTACATTGCGCTAGCCAAAATGGCGGAGCACGGCTTATTATTTTCCCAGGTAGGTATTTCATAAATGGCAATAAAACGCCTATCTTTGCATCCTTTTTGTAATTTTCTCCCACCAAATAGCCACGGTTCAGGGCCTCACGTGTTACTACTGTAACTACACCAATGTCGTCCCGTGGTACATGCCCTTTTGTGGAGATCCCTTCGACGAATTGGCCAGCGAGGCAAAAACATCGACTGTGTCGTGTAATGGAATCTGTATCGTAAGTTATCTATTTGAGTTTTCTTCAACATTAAAATCTCCACGATTCTGTAATCCTATGAAAAGTAGGCGATAATGTCGGTGCAAATGTAGCATTCCGTGTAAATGAACCTGTGCGCCTATTTTCATTGACAATTGGGTGTCTGTTCATTTGTCAAGTTTCATGTTCATGTTTATGTGACACATCGTCCCTCGACCGCACAGGATTTGGGACATTTGGCAAAGTACAGCATACTGAACTGAAGAAATATAAATTGAGTGAAACCATCGAAAATAAGCGAAAGATATTTTTTCCGTTGAAACCTTTTGTTATTTGTAACATTCTGTGTCGCTAGGCTGATGTTGAACACCTTTTACGAAGTTTCAGATTATCAAAAAAAGACACAAAGGGTTATCAATTTCATTTGCGGCGTTTTCTCTTTTTCACCTGCTCATTTTCTCAATATATTTGTAAAAACACAATTCTTAAAAAATTAACTGACTTCATATTAACAACACACCAAATTCCCGTTCTGACGAACCTTTCCCACCCTACCAACTTGTGTCACACCCCTCAAAATCTCATCTCCCTGACACAATTAACACTCACTGCCAATTTCACCACACCCTTCCCATCCCAAACACCTTTCTTTATTCTCCAAACACCTGTTGGTCTTCACACCCACTGCATCCCACTACGCCACGCCCACACCGCTCTGCCTCCTTGCTGTCGTAATTCCCCGCCCACCTTTGAAGAAATCCAAAGGCCGAATCTTCTACGACGGAGGGTATGTGGAGGGCCTATCGCGGGGGTGTCATGCCGGCATGGACGTCTCGGAGTGCTTCAACGCGTGCAGGTCCCAGGGACGACAAGAAGGATGCGAGTACTGCTGCGACCAGGATCTCTGCAACAGCGCATTCCCTGTGACCTTCCACCCGGAAGTACTTGTCACCACACTGGTGTTTGCGTTTGCGACCTTGGCTTTCTAAACACAGTAAAAGGTTTTTTAAGGCTAAAAAGTAGGTGTTTTGTAAACAGGAAGGGAACTTTTACTGGAAATTATAATTTACATCGCACATGGGAATGGTCTCTTCTAAATGCTAAACGATTAGTGTCCAGGTTTTGTGGTACTTTGCATGCGCATGCGCGCCCTATATAGCCACTAATGCTTTTATCCCACGTTTGCTGTTGCTTCTCGTCATTTTAGACCAACAGTACCAATACAACAAGCGTTTTTTTAGACAGGATAAAAATCTGGCAATAATTTAAGCGAACACTAGTTTTCATACTTTACGGGATAATCTCATTACTACTACGGATTGGTGAAGGAAGGATTAACGGTCCGCAATAAGTTTTTACACAACACGCTTGGGAAACTCGACTTGCATAAAGGCTATGATCTTGGTTCTGGAGGATTTTTGAAGGTACGTAAAGTCCTGCGTATCGACAGGAGAAAGCTTCAAGTTACATGAGGTGTGAATACTAGTCTCCTCACAAGACTGGTAATCGAACCATTCTCCCATAGGAAAAAGTACATGGTGTATCCCCAGAGCATTATGTAATAAAACATTATGTAATAAAAACACAAACAAGACAAAATAAAATGCAAACAGGCCCGACCCCCTCTTAAAGGATTATGTCTTTATTTCATGGGAATAGACAATAATGTAGTTCCCTTGCTTATGACGAAAAGCCTCCAAATCTTATCCACACGTGACGGAGGAAAGTCAGAATCTTTTGCCCCTCCCAGAAAAATTTCTTCAACTCCCCCAAGGGTTCTGGCTGGGGCTTTACTCTGTAAAATGGTACGTTCCTAGGGACCGAAGTTGAAAAACATGAAACTGAAAGGAGCTCCAACAGGTGTCGTGTGAAATTACTTCTGCCTGATTGCACACGACGATCTAATAGGCAGATTGCTGAAGACCTACCAACTGTGCGCACGGAATATAAGCAGTCGGGCCAAGGCAGAACGAAATAAGGCTTACGTAGCCATGCAAGGATGACGATGCAGTTGGATAGGCCTACAGAGAAAAAGTTCATTGACTTTTGCTTGGTTCGGCAACATACCATTAGAATCACTGCTGGAAGGTCTGGGCTTCTAAACGTTGTCCCGTACCCCCCAAAAAAACATGATTGCTGTTAATAACCACAGTAATCATAAGTATCGTCAATTTACACCGACGTGCCGAGAGAAAAACAGAATTCATTTAATTTTGAAATGTATAAACGTCTGTGGGTATAAATTAGTAATCAGGTGCAGAATTTTGAAAATAATGATAGTTTACCCTCATCCACAGCTTTCCGTATGGGGTGAGATTTCCGAGAATATTCAAAAGAATTTCAAAATTTTTCAACCCATACAGTAGTGTGGAATCTCTCATATTTCTATATGTTTTAAAGTTTGGTTAGATATGCCACATTCCGATAATCATATTTTTACTCTTACTGCTGGATAATTTCTGGACCTTGATTTTGTCCTCCCCTTAATCTCCGGCCTTAAGGTAGTTCCAAATATTAATTTTTCCTCATTGTGTGAGCATGTAATTTAGACAAGAAATTAATAACCGTTTTGCAAGTTAAAGTTAAATAAAATCTGATACACTAAGTTATGGGATTGCACGTAAACGCAACAACGTAACTTCTTCAGACCATGGACACGGTTGCTGTACCTTGTGAGTTTGGGCAGGCTCTTACATAGAGATCGCCATTTCTGGAATGGACTGGTTCCTCTGAGCCCGTCGTATCCATTGAATTAATTGTACAAAGCATTGTACTAAGCAAATGCTTGCCCCGAATTACGAATTGTAGTAGCAACCGTGTTAATATGGAGAACACAAACTGTCTTGCTCACGTTAATTTAAGGAATCGGTGTACACGATTTTATTGCAAAAACATGAAGTCGAGGTTAACTCCGCCAAGCGATGTACTTTGTGTAAAAGGGTTCCTGCTGCATTGCACACGGCAGTCTAATGGCAGTCTTATGGGGCCTACCGGATGTGGGCACGGAATGCCACCAGTCAGATCAAGGTATCGACAGAGGTCTTATTTAGCCATTTGAGTGTGACGATGCGTTTGGTATAATATATGCGTAATTACTGTCGTCAGCTATTGGGAGAGAGTTCAGTGACTTTTGCTTGTTCATCGACACACCCGCAGGTACATCTGAATCTTTGACCACCGTTCCCAACTCAAATGCATGATTGTGGTTCATAACCACACGAATAACAGCAGCGCCAAGTTTGGAGAAAATGGATGATGGAAGGAAACATTTGCAAATATAAATTACTGTTACTTATCTCCCAACCCCCTACTTGACGATTGCTGGACGTTGATTTTGTACCCCTAGAATCTCTGGCCTAACGGTAGATCGAATTTGAAGATTTTTCAGTGAAAGTAGGGAGTTTTACACTGCACATTTTTATCATTGTCTCAAGGAATTTTGATAGATTACCTTCTTTTTATGAAACTTTCTCTATGAAATATTTCTTTCATTTTGCTAGCTATTTTTTTTAAATTCTATCGTGATTCCAACCTTTATTTAAGTTCTATGGCATTCAATACACTATTTGTAACTTTTATTTGGTTCTCTACTTCAATTTTCATTGATTTTTATCGACATGTATTATTCATTTACTCATTTGAAATAGTTTCTTTATTTTTTGTTAAAATTTATTTCACTTTTCCTTTATCGATTGTATTTTTCATTTTACTTTGTACATGTTTAAAAATCCCCATATCTAATTTGAACTGCCGTTTTCTTTGATTTTGTAAGAGCAGGGTAATTTGTCATTTATTTGTAAAAAAGATATGATTTAAACCCCGAAAATTATTCCATACACTATTTAGTAAATGCTTTGTTTGCTGTTGTTATGTACACGTCCTTTTATTCCTGTGAATGCCTCTTAATGACTTAGCTTCTTATCATTAATATTTGCTATATTTTCCAGAGTTTATTACTTTTTTAGTTTAAATGTTACCTACGAGCGCGAAGTGTAAGACCCTATGGGACTTATTCTGTATGGGACGACATTGATCCAACTTCCGCCAAAAAGTTCAAAATAAATGTATATTTTCCTCACTACAAATGGCAGTGCATTTGGTTTTGTCATCTCAGGCCTCCTCCCTGTGACCTCATCAACATTTCTTTTCAGCTGGGCACAAACAATGCAATGGCCATAGATAATTTGGGGTTTCCGAAAGCGGGGGTTTGTCTTGGCGGTGGCTTTGTCGGTGGCTCTTTTAGTTTCTTTTTCCATTTTGTGCGGGCAGCCGCAAAGATTCCAGAAACTTTACTCTAGGTTGGAAAGAACTGTTGCATCAAAGAGCATATCTTGCTTCAGCGGTGTAAATAGGGCAGTCGTTTCATTCAACATTATGTAGTAGCGAGGAATGGCCAGCCATGGTTTGTGAAGCTAACAAACACTGCGTATTTGACGTAGCAGACAAGAAATATGTACAGTACTTTATTTCCTGCAGCAAAACAACTTCTGGGACTAAGTCGGGTTCAGACACCTTAAATAAAAACCCCGACGAAGCCCAATACGAAACTAAGCCGAGGTTTCAGAAAGCTATGCTCTCGCGACTTAACACAATACAGCTTGTGTTGTCGTAGCAACGCATTGTTGCTTACCCGGGCTGCGCTTAGTGTACCGTGACTCGGCATTGGGCTTTAAAGGAACAGTAAGGGCATGCAGCACGGGGCTTAATTGTGACCTCATGGAAAAAATAATGAAACCATTGGTGATTAAAGACCCCTTGGATAATGCTCGTGTTTAAAGTCGATCACTACGGTCAGTGTTTCTAAGCTCGCAAAAATTTGTGTAAATGTTTTTAGCCCGAAAACCCGTCGGGATGTGCATGACACGTGACCGCATCAACTCCCCTTTTTAAGGGGGGTAGGGAATTACGTTAACTACAGCACCGTCAGGTTCCAGTAAGCCTAATATGCAGGAACAATTAACTTCAACTTTGTTTATTACTTCCTGAAAAATTATCAAAAAATCCATGAACATCAAAACGTCTTTCGAAATCGCCTGTTGTGCTCATTCGACTAATTCAAATTCATTACGATAAAAAAGGAACGCAAAGTTCAAGTTAGTGAAATTTAACATTCATATCATCTCAAGAGCAACCAACAAGATTAGACTGACTTTTGATCGGAACGAGGTTTTCCATATGCCCATTAATTACTAAAGAAATAGGGAACAGCCGTTAATTCTCCAAATTTGGTTCTGGGAAGACACGGTCCAAGCACACCCGCATGCCCTTTAAAGATTCGTTCGGCAAGAGCCGTTGGCGTTCCTGGTCCCAGCATTGGGAACCATTCACCTGCGAAGCGAGACACAAAGATGATTCAGGCGAGCGCATTGATCCATATTGTCCACTGATGCAATGTTTATGCGTTGCCCATTGTGAAACCGTTTAAGCCAAACGCCATACGTACGTGTTGCTCAGGTTGCTTTTGAAGAAACTATGTGAAACGTACATGAACATGTGTGCATGTATTGATGACGAGATGGCCAGCTACGGTTTGTTTACAGCGGTTATAAAACGGGCTCATCAATTGCTGAAGATGTCAGATGTGATATTTCCTTTACTGTCCATTTTGATTTGCATCTCTGCTCTGGGTAAGTGAGCCAACATTTTCGGCTCGGTGTGACAACCTAGTCTTTTGAACCAGTTGTGTTCAAATCAGTGCAACATTATGAATATTTTAAACTGTTCTTCAGGCCATCGCAGTCTGTAATCAGCAGAGAAATTCCTTGCTTTAATTCAATTAACTCGTGGCTATCAGTCTAGGTAATGTCCATGTTTGATGTGTGGCGAGCCCTGGGCGAACCAAAATGTATTCCGTTTCTCCGAAAAAGTCTTCCAGACTAATCCCAGCCAATGGCGCAGTACATGAAGTTCTCTGATGTCGTTACCTTATGGGAAGAATATATTGAAAACCCAAGGTTCCAGTACATGCACAGATGGACTTACTATCCATGTAACACCTGCATCCCAATCGGTGGTCATAGCGCGGACGTTTGTGGGTTCAAATTACATTAACATGTACAAATTACACTGTAACTAGCAATGCCAAACTACCGTATCTCACCATGATGTGCATGTACCCTGCGGTATGTCGCCATGGCGATCATGCACTGAGTGTTTTACTTTCTATTGCTAAAATGACTCTCAATAATCTAAGATCACCCTAATCATAAAAAAGAAAGTGCTAGTTGCACCGACAGGATGATTTTGATTTTCCTATATGGCCATGGCTCCATGTCACACATGTGCCACGCATATTTGTTACACCAGTAGTGAAGAATTTCGTACTTGTTCTCGTTATGATTGCTTACTGTGATAAATCTATTTTAACCCTAGAGCTGGGGGCGGAATCCACCCCTAGACCTTAATTATTTCCAATATCACCTCAGGGCATACTCTTTTCACTTGAACCTTAAGGATTTTTTAGAAGAACCCTTTGCGGTCATTTTGACACCATTTTTTCAAAAATCGAGCATGCAGCTCTCCTGTAGCGCGCATTTTAACGAGACGTTTGTTTTTGCTAACCTATCAATATTTATATATAACGGGTTTGCATTTCCATTTCTTTCAAATATTATCAATATTTGAAAGAAATGGAAAGATTAAAAACAAGACAGTATATGAATTTTTGTTTGAGGATCCCCAGTGATGTCGGATTTCATGTTGTTGAGTCTGGAACTGTGTTGATTTTACACTGTTTTCGATAGGGCTTGAAATAGCGCAAGCCATCCCTACGTGCACTTTCCAAACTTTCTAATGTAGCAAGCGGGCGCCCTAGGCCACTGAGCAGCCTGGCAAAGCATACTCGTGAACCAAGTATGACGTTATCAGTGCAGATGTCTGTTTCAACCCCTTGTAAGTTGTAACCTCCCCTGTTTGCCCTGCCCACAGCCGGCGTGGTCGAGCCGAGAAAGTGCTATCAGTGTAGGTACAACGACTGGGAGATCGACCGCTTCGACATATGCCTCGATCCCTTCCTACCCGAACCGGGAGAAGTAACTGGAGTATCGTGCAACGGAATGTGCACGGTAAGTCAATGCACGACCAAAGTCAGTATCGAATATCTACTACAGTATTCGAATAGTCGTCGTGCAGTGTACATGTATATATCAGTGTACGTGTATTCAGGTCTGCCAAATTTCTCAAACGCAGAAGCAAAATATGCATGCTTATTGGGTCGTCTATCTCTTAGAGTTTCCAAGACTGGAGCCCGCCCCTCTTTGAAACAAGACTGGCTTTTAGTCCAACCATTATTTCATCCCGTTGGTAATGTGTTGCAATTAAGTCTAACTGAGAAAGGACAACATGGAAAATCGGTTTTGTGGCATTTATGTTGAGCAAATTTCCCTTTCATATGCCACCTCCAAATTTTTGATTTCGATAACTATTCGAATATTCGGCAGAGCACATGACCTGACTTAAGGGGTCTGATTTTGATATTTGTTGAAATTTATCATTAGAAATCCACCCATACCTTACCTTTATTCGGTTAATATCAATGAAGTACATAGAAGTACATGTATTAGCAAGTACCTGTCACCCTTCCTCGTAAATGCTTTCACTGTGTCAGCCCTTAGGTCACAGTTTGAAAAAAATCCTGCAGTGAACCAAATCTTGTCTGGGTTACGTGACACCGACCATATTCTCAGTTGTTCGGAACAACATGGTCAAATTTGAATGTTTGAAAAGGTGCCGTTTTTAGTTTATTCGATCAGAAGGAATATAATATAATTTTAGTACTGCGAAGAAAAAAAATTGTTACAGAGACTTGTGTCTGTAAACTTTATGACTCCTACCCTGTAATTATTATGTTAATTTCTGTCAATAAAAATGGAGTGTTGGAATTTCTTGTTGCCCTTGGCAACGTGTTGCTTCTGACGTCAACAGTTGGCGCTACTCGCTTCAGACTGCATTTAACTGAAATTCCAGTATAGTAAAACGTGTGATGATAACGAAACTCATGACGTTATGCAGACCATATTTTGCTTTGCGTTTTTTCCCTATTTCCTCTCAAATATGTACAGAAATCAGTTTATACAAGAAACGGTGAGATCACTGCTATGAACCGTTCCTGCATCCCTTACACGGAGACGGCCGAAAAGTGCATCCATGGCTGTTTTGAACTAGTTCGAGGTGGAGATCAAAGGACGTGTGTATGGTGCTGTGACAACAACAACTTTTGCAACTGCGCCGACACGGTGACCCACGGCCATCAACTGGGCGCATGCTTGTTAGCGTTTCTGGTCACGTGGTTAACTTGAACATTCATCAAGAACATTATGTAAAACAATTACATAGTAATGTTTGAAGAAGAAATCAAAATGACCAATGACTTTGGAATGACAAATTTCTAGTCAAAGGTTATTGTTCTAAAACTGGTCTGAAGCTTAGCACCATTTTGAAAACGGATGTCATTGCACAATTGAGCCATATGAGCGACCGTTTCTAATTTCTCAGAAAAAAAGTGAAACCCCCTATGGACCACGCAAAGCTCCAACTGCAGAGATTCATGGAGCCTGGAAATTATGATTTGCACAGCAGTTCAAGCTACGCTTTGTATTTCAATCTATTTCAAGCGAACATATTCACTGATCTGAAACCCTAAATCCAACTTAAAAACCAGTATCTCAAACAATGAAGAGCGTAGCACGTACCTATATGTAGTGACGTCATATCAAAAAGTCTTGGCTGACAGTGCTCTTGATCAGCCAACAAATGCCACTGAAGCCACTGGCGGGCATCTATCTGTGCTGAATACAAAAAAGGGCAAAAAGCTTGCTCGACATTGTTAACAAATTGTTTGTGTCATCAATTCCGCATGGTATGGTGGTTTCCGGCGGCTTAAGTTCATGTGACATTGCAAGTCTGTGCGCATACCACAGAAGCGGAGGTCTTTCACCCTGTTACCATAGAGAGGGTGGTCCTACGAGTTTAATTTCTTTGATGTGCATGACGACAGTTCTCCAAGCCCTCACAGTGCCTTACCACTTATTGTAAATAAATTGTGTACATACCTGTTGTAAAAATTAAATTAAATCGAAAATGAAACAGATTTCTTAATTCATGGCGTATTTTTTCATTTGTAGCTTCTGTTATTAAAAAAAATCTGTAACAATCTTTACAATAATAGTGCGCTACCAAGCGACTTGTCAAACGTTCAGTCGACCGTCCCCTGCTCCTTCACCCTCACAGAACGCTGGAAAGGGAAACTCTACCATGACGTCATGTTGCACATCACTCATTGCATTGAGTTGAATAACAGCTTCAAACGTCTGGCTCCACGTGCATAAAACGACCTTGGCGGTAAATGACGTAAACAGCCAACTGAACATGTTTGAGGTTACAAACATCGTGGTACTTGAATCAAATTCACTGTGCATTCTTCCCCTTACACGGTAATGATCCCCTAAATCATACAGGCTTTTTTCACCTTTGGCTTCTCAAGAAGTCCTCTTTATTGTCATAGCTTTATCTCTCTGGTCTGAGAGAGTTCATTATAAATGAAATACCCCAAATTTGCATTTTATGTACATGTAAAAGTTACAGAGGAATAAATCATTAAGGGCTAATTGAAGCATTTAAAATGAACGACACAGGGAGTTGCAATAAAGTTGACGTCCTTTGACTAATGATTTGCTCAACTTGGGAAGTCACAGGCCTATACTCGCCAGCTACCTACGAATATTTCATTCTTACATAAAAAAACATGAGCATAATCACTGTGGATTCCCCTCACTGTTGGCTCTCGGGAAGAGGTTGGCTTCCGTTTTTTTCCCACTGGAAACTCAAGATTATGGCCAGAGGATCACTTTTCGTTTCAATTTTATCGGGGTTAGCATCGTCAGTGTTTGCATTCTCATTTTAATGTTTTTTTCCTTAGATATTATTGTCCCTCTGATCCTCATTGTTTTTTTATATCAGGATAAAAAAACATGGACAACATCAAAGAGGGTTCCTCATGAACCCCCACCTTCAAGATCCATTCTATGCTCGTGCCAATCTCTTCAATTCGACATTGAATGTTTTACGTGCTGCAGAACATAACAAGGAACACATGTACAGTACCCTGTGTAATTAACAATACACCCTCAGTACACTTTGACTACGGCTTATCTAACAGCGTCAGACTTTTTTGGTTTCACGAGTACAAGGAACCCCAAAAAAGTCAATTATTCAACGTCATGTTTGTCAAACACACCTTGGTGATCTTGCAAATGAAATGAGAAACTTGAATCTAATAAAAATGTAAGTCATTCAACATGTTTGGAACAGTTTATAATTTCCCTTTCTATGCACATTTGGTCTAAGAAGAGACGCTGTAACAGGTAAAAAAAATGAAATGTGCCACGCTCGACGACGTTCGATGAACTATGCACTATTGTTTATTCGATAAAGGAGTTTATGTGTAACGCGAAAGACCTTGAAAAAAATCGCTTTTCACAGTTTACGATATTTGTCTGATGAGGTACACAAACGATCACATTCAGTTTACATCACACATGTTATCTGTCCCAGTAATACATTCCTGTATCGAAACTCCGAAAGTCATCAAATAGTTGTCACTCTATCACCCGTGTTTGTAACTCAAACAAACATAAAGCTTGAGTTGCAATATTGGATATCTGAATACGCCTATAGCTCGTTTCACTTGATCAGTCTACCGCTGTAAAAGTAATTAAATGAAAATGCAAGCTACTCATAATTTTCAATTTAAAACCTCTGAAAACAGGTTTATGTCTTTGAAGATTCGAATAACATGAGCAATGTCAGATTATTTTCTTTTTGATTTACAGTGCCCATGTTACATACGGAAAGTCGATCACAAGTTTAACAGATGCTCAGACAGAGTTGGAGGTAGTGGACTATTTTTGTTATTCTTTGGCAGATTCCAAAAGAAAAGGAAATACATCTATGCCAGAATTTACTTACTGTTTCGGTTTATACTCACTGGTTAGGTTTAATTAAACTGATTATTTGGACTTATTATTAGGACTAATTTCAAGTCATAAACTGTTGTTTTATGGGGTAGATTTGTTGGTGGAAGCGTCAATAGAACTGTAAAACACCTTGTGATTGCAGCACAATTTTGTGAACGTCACCTTATGAGCTTACTTAACTTGCCACCATACAGTTGGCAAAATGAAACCCCGGATCATTACTTTTGACTTCAATCGCAGACAGTGGCAATCGTGTGCTTTTACGATTTCTAAAGAGTGAAAAAATTTCATGTGATCATTTTCACGGTCTTGCCTGGTCCAAGCAGTTCAGTACTAAAAAGCAAAAAAAACCCAAAACTCTTTAAAATGAGCATTCGCAGAGAAAAAGTCGTAATGTAGTATCTGATTGTTTTGACAGTCACTCGGTCACACACTACCGCGTGGTAGACAGTGAACCAGTTTACTACTGCAATCTTATTTATGCGTGCATGCGCGTAAACGGCCAAACTAACTCGACACATTTACTCACCGTGCGGTTTGGCTGTCGAGTCAAACTGTTATCTCATCGTAATATGTGGTTGATAATCTTAACACATCCCGCCCCTTGCGCTGATCATTTCTCCATGGCTTTAACAGAAATTCATGCTCTACGCCTGAAGAAAATCTTGTACGAGCCGCGACAGAACTCAACCCTGGTACAATTGGAATTAATGCAGCTAGCAAAGGGCGTAGAGCCTATTCCATAGAAGCCCCTACGGAAGTGGCTAGCCAAAGGTGTAATACACGTCCTGTAGAAGCCGCTACTGAAGTGGCTAGCCAACGGCGTAATGCCTATCCTATAAATGCCCCTATGTAAGCGGCTCACCAATGGCGTAATGCCTATCCTGTAGATGGACCTAAGGAAGCGGCTAACCAATGGCGTAATGACTAGCCTGTAGATGGACCTAGGGAAGCGGCTAGCCAAGGTGTAATGCCTATTCTGTAAATGCATGTGTTCTTTGCAGCCGTAGCCAAGTAGTTCGTGCACAGCCAGAAGTTTTATTCAAATCCCAAATGGCGAGTTGTTGCAGCTGTAGTTATCGGTGATGTTGTGCCTCTCTTTGTTTTTATTTACCGGGCAATTGTGGGAACAAAGGCTCTACAGAAATCTTATTTCTAACATTCGAAACTTCTTCGATCATTTAAAATACTTATGCATACTCAAACTTTTTCCACTTCTATGTGGGGTTTCGTATTCCCTACGTTGCGGAACATGACAACAGGTACGGCTGTTGTACGTCATCATGTATCTGCCAATCAGAGTCAATAACCCAACAAGTCGGCGATCACAAGTAAGCAGGTCAAGTCAACATTACCAACACCTAGGTAACTTCGACCAATTAAACACTATCAATTCACATAGTTTAAGATCCCATTGGATCCATTGGTCCCACCCACCCCAAAGTTTGCGCCAACTTGCAGCAACAGCAGTATGAGGTGAGTCGGTGATGTGTGTGAGTGGCAGCGCGCAGGGTCCAATCATAAACCAGTCCACCCTCACCAGCAACTGCTCTGGAAATGGCTAGCTAGTTTATTTAAAGACACGAGCCGCCGCGTTGCTCCTCAAACCAAGCACCGCACATCATCACCTTTGGTTAATGAATAAGAGAGCAGACTGCATACAACTTCACAAAGTGAGTGCCTATTTATCTAAATATACTAAACACAATTCAAAAGTCGGCTTTTTCAATGCATGCACTGTGGTTTTAATTTAAATTAGTTAACTGTTATCCACAGATTTCCACGGGCCTTGAGAGATTGAGCAACTCTTTCCCCTTTCCCATTTGCTTCTTCTTCGTCCTTCCTCCTTTTTCTGTATGATTCAAACAGTACCCTGGTTGCGCTCTCAATTTTCTTGGCGATGACGAATTTGTTTATATTGACGTTTTAGAAGTAGAAGAACATATGTTCAATTTGTTACGATGTTAAATTGTAATTTGAAACGAATGCTTTGTGTAAGCGCTTTTCGTTTCTTCCACTAAATACAATTTGTGTAACAGTTTGGTATTTCCGTAATTTGCAACTGTCAATGTTGTTCTGTTATAGCCCAGGCCCCATCCCTCCAAAAAGTAGTTTGTCAATTTCAAGCATGCGCCGCAGTCCTTTTTCTCTGCCGAATCTTCAACAGCGCCTGCTATTGCTGCGCTGCCTCAACATTTGGCGGGCTTTTACTAAGGGCGATGAATCCCGATGAGATCGATGTTGAACAATGTTAGCAGACTGCGGGTGCGAAGTTGTTGTCGGTTTATATTCATGACAAGGGTAGTCTAGTCCCATGGCTCGAGAACGTGGTCCGCCATTGTCGGTAAAAACCGCCCCTGGATAAATAAAAGCAGATCCCCGCACCAATTCCGCATCAACACCAGGCTGACCTGAGACAAACCCATTTTTGGCCTTAGCCAAGTAGAAATAACGTAACTATTTTCTTTTGTGTTATTTTTAACCTGAACTGCAGAGCAGAGATTGAAAATTCGATCTTCCTTTTTGACTTCAAGAACTTGACGGAGATCCAAACGTAACTCTCGATGTGAGTTTTCTAGTTTCTCCCTAATCGACTGTTTTTCATTCTGTGTGTTTCTATTTTAGAATTTTATTATTCATTAGTAAAAAAATGTACCTAGCTATTTTGTGTAAATCCCGATGTAAAACTATGAGTCGATTCAATATCTTTGGCCAATATGCTTTATTTACATTTTAAGTTAGGAAAGTTATGAAAGCAGATTATTTTGACAACTTGTATGCTGGAAGTGTGCTGTATCAATGTACTAACAAGTGAGAAAAAGTTGCACATTTTAGGGAAATAATTCCAAAAATGTATAATTGAGAGTTACAACATCTATATCAGTATGGGCTTTCGAATGTTCACAACATCAACACAAAGGTAATTTTCACCAAACGGTTAGCACTATCCATCTGAAATTTGTACTTTTATGGAGCATAAATATCCTTCTCTCGTTCATTGTGTGGTTTCTAGGTGTTTCGCAAACGAAGGCATTTAGTCAGGACAGTAGGTCTCAGTTTGCTAGAATAACTTTTAGAGGGCAGGTCGAGGTACAGGAATCACGGCAGCAGAACTTACTGAGGAGCAGATCGCATAATCATAAAATAGCATAATCCATGCAGATGACGCCCACTTCGTTTGCATGAAGTCGAGCTGTCCTCGGATTCTCGTTTTCATTTGATAAAATCTATAAACGTGTGTCGACAACGAGAAATGCGTCAATATTTTGAAATAATCCCCCATCATATGTATTGGGAAATTTGTCAGGACAGTAGGCGGCGCCTTTTTTTGGGCATTTCCAATGTTAAGTAATTAAACTTAATTTCTTTTCCTTTTTTTGCAATCAGAAAAAAGATCAGGTTGCCATTTTACTTTGACTTTGACTTTTATTTTACTTGTATCGCTTACCCACTTGTCCAAGAGTGGATTTTAAACTTTTTCCACGTCTGCCTTGATACTTACAAGCTAAAGCTGCTCTGCACGCTTTAACACCGTAAAAAAGCTAGTCAAACAGTGTTGGGAATTTGTTATTTGCCCATCCTTGGTTAAAGTTACCACATATGTTGGTTAATTTCCATCACTGTTGGTCAAATATTGACCAACGATTGGGAAGAATTTGCCCAAGATTTGGAAGTTGATATTTACACCAACATTGGGCAAAGTATCGACCCAAATTTGACCAACCTTTGTACAGTGTACCCAGGGCTCCACACATTAAAATTTAGGCTAATAAGAGATCATTTATGTACACCAGGCAGAGTGATACTGCCTCCTCTTTCCTCCACTTCAATATCTGCTTTAAGTTCGTTAATTTTGTTGCTTTTAATGTAGATGCAGCTCAGTTTTGCACTCATCTTTTCGATTGCCATCCTGCTGGGTAATGCTCTCGAGCTCAGAGCGGCCATTTACGGGCCGGCTCCGACAGACGGTGAAGGTGCGGAGTCTCAAAGCCAAATGTGCTTAGAGGTACTGCGAGGTCCACCTGGTTTAGTTGGCCCCAAGGGTGAAGAAGGGGTCAGGGGCAGAAAGGTGAGGTTGGTCCAGTTGGCGCTGTTGGTGAGCAGGGAGCTCCGGGGAACCCTGGGCCTAAAGGGGACGTCGGAGTGGGCCTGCCGGGTAGGGTAGGTCCCAGAGGTCCACCTGGTGTAGTTGGCCCTAGGGGGAAGCTGGAGTTAAAGGTCAAAAAGGTGAACCGGGGGAGGTGCTAGATAACTCTGCCCAGCAAGTAGCATTCACGGTGACGCGGACAAGCAGCTCAGCCACCTCAGCGAGCCACAACACCCGTCTGCCCTTTGAGCAGATCGAGACGCTTCTGCCGGGTACCAGCTTTGATCTAGCGACCGGTACATTCACGTGTAGCGTGCCGGGCACCTACGTGTTCATGTTTTATGTGCACAGCCATGTCGGCAGCGGCCTCAACATTCATCTCGTCCAAAACAAAGACTGGATTGTATCTGGCCTTGAGAGCGATCCAAGTCACATTGGTCAGGTGTCTGGGAGCGCGGTGCTGGTTCTAAAGCGAGGAGACAAGGTGTATTTGACCGTGTTTGGTAAAGCGTACAGTGATTCGATCCAACACCACACCTCGTTCAGTGGCTTTCTCCTTTACCCCAAATAAGCAGCAGGACAACCACGCACATAATGCACCATTGCTGGTGAAAATTCTACGATGGTAATTGTTGAGTTCAGGAGACAACTGTCTCTTTTTAATATTTGAAATTGCCTTTTCCGCTCTAAAACAACGTATCGGCCGTAACTCATCTCCACCCAGTGTGTTGATAGTATCTAAGTCTAATTGTCATTTTCCAGTTGTTAACCAGCCACCATACCATTTAATTTTACAGATTGTGCCTTTAAGTTTGTGCTGCCTTCGCTCTACGTCGAAATGTCGGGTCAAACGATATATTTTTGTCCTCTTTCCCTGCTAGCACCCCACACTATGTCCGTGCTGCTTTGACTTTTTAAGAATCACATCCTAAACTCCAAACCCAGTCGAGGGCAGATTAAGTGACAAGGGGGGGGGTACATTTCTGTTTTACCCATGTAACCGTTTTTGGCATTTTAAGGGCCGCAGCTACAGTTTTGTCTTTGCAGGCTTTGGAAAGGAAGAGAAATGAAAAAAAAACAACCAAAACAAAAACACTTATCTGTCATTTGCTTTTCTTTTTTTTAGATTTTGTCTTCTTTTTATGGCCCCGGCTGTCCCACTGGGTCTGCCTTTTAATCCAATATGTTGACATTAGGAAAAAAGTAAAACACCAAAGCTGAATCTCTTGACGTGACATTTGGTATTCTGCACACTAGCATGGTTGAGCAGGTTACTCAAATATGCAAATTTGTCATAGTGCCGATTTCAGTACCTTAACATCGGTCTGGTTTGTTCACTCATCTGTGCTAATAACATCACATTCTGTATGTACCATTGCAAAAAAGACATTCTGTCCTTCCTATAGATATATTTCTCTTTCCCCTATATGACGTAGTTTTGCCATTACAGTAATTTTTATCTCGGTATACTTTTTATGTGAAAACTCAGTAATGGAACACGTCCACCAGAATTAGAAGTCATAACTCCGATGGCACACACAGCGCTCGGGAAGGTTAGTGCGGGCGCCCTACACGCCTCCTCGTCCAATAGGATCTCGTGATGTTTGCCAAAATTGAAAGTGGTTATCAACTCGAGTAAGCTTTATGGATTAACAAAAACATGATGAAATTATGCTTGTCTACGTGCTTTCATTCGACAATTTTAATGCATTTTTACGTCCTAACGGAATGGAATATTTGTCAATAACCAGGAAAATAGTTTCAGCTTACTTTCTGTGTTTTAACGTGTAACACATGCAGAAACGAGAAATTCGTTGGCCTATGATCATAACCTCTGGCTACAAAAAAACATAGTTGCCACAAAAAATTGACCCTGTCAAAGATTGCTGTACAAAACGGGAAGACGAAAGAAAAAACAAGCATGACTTTTGCCTCTCATCCGTTTCGTGACTTCGTCCTACAATAGAGCTAGGAACACCTATACCTGAGGGCGCACCACTGATTGCAAACTTCCTTTGTTGATGAGCACTCGCATTATCTTCCGATTCCATGTAAATCTGTCTGCAGTAAACGGGGTTTGAATTGAAGAGACGTCGCATTACAAACCTATTTCTGAATACAACCACATTGTTTTACGTTTACAATTGAATCCCTGCAGTTAATGTCACAGTACGCTGAATAGTGTGCATAGGTGCCTCGTTCCAATGTTTTCTATTTAGATTCTATTCAATAGTTGATAACACTGTCGCCTTCAATCAATTTTAGTTGCGTGGACTATGGCCCGGACCCTCTCATCATTTTATATTTTGTCCTTGAAAGCATAATGCTGTTTTTCTTACAAACCTTTCGAACAATCTACTGGTAAAATGTTTTAGGCGGCTGTTTAATAGCTCACAATAAGTCATGAATGTGAAAATATCACTGCTGTTGTACTTTTGAAAGGGACTGTTTTACCAACGCCTACCTTGCTGAAACCTGTGTAGTTTTACTTCTTGTCTTGGAATGCTCTTACGTTATTATTCTTGAAAAGAAGTTGGAACTATGAAGTATCGCAGAGTAATGGATGGTGACTAACGGCTTTATATCCAATCCTAAACTTTGTCACTTTGTTCTGTAAAATGACAACAATTCACCACTACTCTTTACTCTGAAATTGTAAGTCGCATGTTGTTTCCGTAGAATTTAGTCTCGATTAAATCATTATTTGAGCTACAAAAGGTGAACACTCATGTTCGACTCTTTTATGGAAGTTGAATTTTCGAAGGTGAGAGGTCATGGCCTGGAACTTAGTATCAGCATTACGACTGAAGCATGGATTTATGGCCTTAACTATTCTTTCAAGTTCGCAGTTTTTGTGGTCCTTGCATTTGAGTTTTTGTCAAGTGCAGAATAAAGCTCTGGAACAGACTGTAATCGAACTTGAATGGGATTTGGATGATAAGATGTGGGGACGCTTTTAATCCATCCACTGCATGGATACAATTGTTAAAGACAGAACAGACTGATAAAACTGTTAACCCAAATGTGTTCCTCCTAAGATTTCAAAAATGCACAGGCCTTTCTCAAATAAAACGGGACAATCAAGTCTACGGTCTCACTTCAGTTGGCTTGGCCAACCAGACTTCTGCAATACGTCTGTGCTATACGGTACTTGTGTGCTCGTTCACTGAACAGTGTAACTGAATTCGCTGTGTGTGAACTACCAATGTCGACTGTTATCATGGAGGATGTATTAGCCATACGATACCTGCATTCACTTCCTGGATCACTTCCTGTAGAGTTCACCTGTCAGTTCATTCCAGTGAATAGTAAGGCATGTGAACAGTTATGGAGATGGGGTCGCTGTCATAATTTGGTTCGAGGCATGGAGAAATCATTGCTTTAGGAAATCGAATCAACAGCATGATTGCGCTGTTTTCTTGAAGTAATGAACAAAAACGAAAACAGTAAGCATACATTTTAGGGGACGCCTATGCAGGCGTCACATAAATAATCTGTCAATGTTGGTTCATTTCCCCTCTTGAAATATCTTCATGTTTCAGCCCAGACGGTATTACTTAGCTACTAAGGCAAAGAGACGCGTCTGGTGAAGCGGCTAACCATTGGCTTAGTGTATTTCCACATGATGCATGTATTATGCATAGTCGTAGCCAATTAATTAAGAAAACAAAACTTTAAACGAGGAGGTGTTAGCATCTTAAATACAATTTAAGCATTTTTGTTGGCCAAAGACGACCAGACAATGTTCCATTTTGCACAACACTCAATGAATCACGCACAGATGGTCTGCGTCATATCATCTCCACCAATTGGACGAAAAAAAACACCAAAAAATCGGTGATCCAAGATATGGTCCTTGACAGATGGGTCTGCCTGTGTCCATCAAAAACGAATATGTTTTATTCATGTATCACAGACATCTACGTAATATACATCATTGAGACGTGGACATTTCACAGTGTCGGTGATCAAAGTTCCCATTGGGCCTCTACCCTGAAATATGTGCCAATGTCGCATGAACATAACTCACCAGCATGATTGACGCTTGATTCGGTGATGTTTCGTGTGACTGACAACGCACAGAGTCCAATCACAAACCAGGCCAAGCTCACCTGTCACTGCTCAGGAAACGGCCGGCTAGTTTAAAGGCACGAGCGGCCTCTTTGCCCCTCAGAATGACTATCGCATGACTGGCTTCAGAGAACAGACCTGATTGACAGAGCTAGAGAGCAGACCTGATTGACAGAGCTAGAGAGCAGACTGACAGCTGACAATTTCTCAAGGTGAGGTTAAATAACGCAAATATTTTCAAAACAATGCAAGAACTAGTTTTTTGATAAGCATACCCTCAACAAATACATCCTAGAAAGTATTTGCTTCCTTTAATGACTGTGCCCTTCGAGCAAAGATTGATCATAAATCTCGGAGGATTTGAATCATTGAGCGGTCGAAATTATGTTAACGGTTATAAAAAAAGGTTCGAACTGCGAGTGAAACCCTATCGATCGCTGGAGTGTTTAATCAAATTCCATGTGACGTTCACAACTTCGCGCGTATGTGATCGTGATCTGTTATTGCAGAAGTTGTCTTAACTAGAGAGCGGAAAAATTCTATTCCGAACCTTTGTTTTAATGTATTTTTTTCTTTCAGTTTAGAAACTATTTGGAAAGTTTAAATTACATCAAAGACAGGCTGCTTTGAATGTCCTTTGTCATCAGGAATATATGAAACAAATGAAGCATATTTTTGGAAGTCTGTCATAGTAGATATATTTTTCAGATCTTTTTGACGAGATGCAGTTTTTTTTGTTTTTCCGAAGCTTGTTTGATCGATCTAATGAGATCTATATTTAGAAATGTTAAGAAACACTGTTTCTCTTTTTGAAAAGGAATCACTTGTAAAAGGCATATATTTCTTTTCCCAAATTGAATTTCAGGAGATTTGAATTTCTAGGTTTGAATTATTTCTCACAAAACAACCTTGAAAAAAGGATTAAAAACTCCAAATATCCTAAAAACGAACTTATATATACTTAAAAACATCGTTATATCGTTAATATCGGTGGAAATATGTCTTTGAAAAAATATATTTAATTAGAGGGAATCTTGAAAAAATGTTCCTTATAAAAACGAGCTTCGACAATATTTACTGAATAAAATTACAGGGTTTTTTGCAGACTGCCGTGGCGCATTCTGCTTGTACTCTTATTTG